CGGTTTAGCGGAAGCCCTGGAGGGTCTGACCCCCTCAGACCAGCTGTGTGACCAGCGCTCGCCCTCAAGAGAGCACAGACCAGGTGCCTGGCCACCATCCTCACAGGCCCGCAGCCCCGATGCTCCATGACAGAGGTGGGCCCTGTGCCCAGCGCCCCGCAGCCAGTGGGGGGCTCCCCCCTCAGCCGCCCGCGCGTGGACGGTGTGCGGGCCCTCCCGAGGTCTGGAGTGTCACCGCCGCACAGTGACGGCCCCTCTGGGACCGACTCTTTCTGCTGCTTCCTGCAGCCCCCCGGCCCCAGGCAGCAGCAGGGGGACCCCGAAGGACCGCGGGGCTCTCCCGGAGCCCTCTCCTCTCCAGCCCTGGCCCTGCCTACAGAGCGGGTCACACAGGCCCCTCATTAGGCGCTAATTGCCTCGGGTGCCGGGCCCCCCAGGGCCGTTGCTGGGATCACACCTGTTGACAAGCTGGGTCGGCCCCGGCGGGAAGGCGTGGGGCCTTGATGATGCCGCTAATGATGTACTCTTGGCCCACAGCGATTCCCTTCCACTAATAAAGCCCCACGCAGCCTGGGGCTGCAGTTCTCGCCTCGCAGAGCCAGGGGGCTCGGGTGGGGGACGCCTCAGGCCACGTTTCCTACGAAGGTCGACTCCTCTCTGGGGTTCTAGACTGAGAGGCACAGGGACCCGCCCCACGTGGGTCCCCCACACCCGGCACTCAGAGCCTGGAGCCACTCAGAGGGCAGCGGGAGGGTCTGCAGGGACCAGCCTGGAGGCCGCGCCCCCACGCCCACCGAGTCAGGGCTAGGGGAGCAGCTGGGGCCAACAGAGACCAAGCTGACCTGCCCAGAGCCCCCAGGGGTGAAGCCCCTCACCTTATAAGAGACCTAGCGGGGCACCGTACTAACAAACAGCACAGTCCCCAGTTTATGAAAAGGAAGAGGAGGGCTTGGAAAGCAACAGCCCCGTGGCTGGGTACGAGGCTGGCCTGGCACCTGCGCGGTGGCCTGGCACCTGGGCGGTTGCCTGGGGCAGATCCCTGGGACACCAGGCCCTGCAGCCACGTGGGCAAGGCCTGCAGCCCCACGGTCTCCCCATTCCTCTCATCCGGTGGCTCCTGGCCCCCAAGCTTAATACGGAGCACCTTTCAGCAGGTGGCCCTGCCAAGTTGAGGCAGCAACAGGAAGCCCCTACCCTGGCCCGAGTCACCCCCCCCCCGAGTCCAACCCCCATGGGGGCATCCCACACAGAGACCTTGACTGTATGGGCTGCACCCTTGAGGCATATCCCTGCTCCTACACCACAGCCACATGGAACCCCACTCTGTCCAGCTTCTTGGGGGGCATTGACCCACAACACCATAACATAGAGAACATGTTTCAAAATCACATGTTTAGGAAAACTTTTATTTTGGGAAAGACATACTACCTTTTACTTGTCCCCACCAGGGTCATTTTATTTTCACTGCACACAGACTGCCTGGAGAAAACAGGTGCTGGCCCAGCCCAGGGTGGCAGTCCTCCACGGTGCCAGGGCCTGTGTCCCCTCTGCCTGCCTGTGTCCCCTGCGTGTCTGCCAGCCCCTAGAGGAGGGGGCTACAGCCAGGAGAGCCACACCCCATCATGCAGCCCTCTGCTGAACCCCCTGATTCCTATGAAAACATGGACACTTGGCCTGTGGTGGACTGAATGGTGCTTTCCAGCAGAACCTGTGGACAGGGCCTTATTTAGAAAAAGAGCCTTTGCAGACATAATTAAGTCAAGGCTCTCGAGAGGAGCTCACCCTGTATTAGGGTCCAGAACCCAGGGATCCTTACAGGATCAGAGAAGCGGGGAGACACAGGAGCCATGTGATAATGGGGAGAGAGACTGGAGGGATGCAGCCCACGCCCAGGGAGGCCTGGAGGCCCAGAGGCTGGAGGAGGTGGGACGGGTCCCCCTGGAGCCGTTAGGGGGGCCCAGCCCTGCCAACACACTGATTTCAGACTTCGGGCCCCCAGACCACGAGAGAAAACTCTTCTGTGGCTTTCAGCCTCCCAGCTGTGGTTTTGTCCCCGCAGCTGCATGGTTCTGACTCTTCACAGGGTGAGACTGAGTCCACGGGCAGGAGGGCTCAGTAGATCCACATGCCTTGGTAGAAACCCCACCTGCTCCTGTCCAACCACCAGACGCTCGATGGTCAGGTTTGGACAAAGCAGGTCCTGTGGGCGTGGCCAGAGCAGAGGACGAGCTCTGCACCCGCTCAGGTTCAGGGACAGGGGTGCCCACATGGCCAGAGCGTCAGAGAAGGTGCTCAGACCTACCAGCCCGGCCTCAAGAGCCTCAGCCCCTCCCTGTGTCCTCAACTGGCCCGCGCGGTCCCCCACGTGTGTAAACACTGGCATTGCACATGGGAAGCGCAAGGTGAACACTCGATAATGATGATGATGAAATAATTTGCAAAACGTGAGAGCACACACACCGGAGGCGAGGTGTATTGTTGGCACAAGAGCCTAGGGGCTCTAGGGACATGGCTGGGAGTTAATAAAAATACCCCGAGGGGCTGAAAAGTCCCCGCTCTTGGCTCTACTCAGAGCAGGCAGGAGGAAGACCCCGCTCATCGTGTGTATGTGTGTGTCAGAGAGAGAGAGGTCAGAAACCCCTGTTCAGCCTTTTTAACCAGAAGCTGGCCCTGGCAGTCCCCCAGGCCCTCCTACAGGGGCAGACCTGCTTACTGTCTGGGCCTCTGGGGGCCTCTTGGGGCAGCCAGCTTGAGCGGCAGCCTCCAGCTCCATTTTTTAAAATAGTTTTCAAGACATATAAATACACATACCACGCAATTCACCCTTTCATAGTGTGTGATTCAATGGTTTTTAACATAATACATTATTAATTTTAAAATTGTGTTGAAACATATGTAACAGGTCTTCCCTGGTAGCTTAGCAGTAAGGAATACACTTGCCAGAGTGTGAGACGTGGGTTTGATCCCTGGGTTGGGAAGATTCCCTGGAGTAGAAAATGGCAACCCACTTCAGAAATCTTGCCTGGAAAATTCCATAGACAGAGGAGCCTGTCTGTGGACTACAGTGGGGCTACAGGTGGGCTACAGTCTGTGGGGTCTCAAAGAATCAGATACGACTGAGCACGCACACAATAGTGAGACTGTCAAGATTTCAGGCACTGTACCCCAGACCTTTGTCAGATATTGCCAGGACATGGAGGGGATGCCGGGGCCTGGAAGTCCACCGTTCAGCTCCTTGGGAAAGCCCCTCTTGATGGTGAGAAGGAACTCCCGTCCTGGCAGCCACGAGGAGCAGCTGCAGGGGCTGGAGGAGGTCATGCCAGCCTGTGGGCCTCAGGCCCCTGGACTCCACACTTAATCCACAAGCAGGTGAGGATACAGCAGGTAGAGCCCATGTCAGGACAAGAACACCAAGAAGAGCTGAGGCCACGATGGGCCCCCAAAACGTGAGATCATGCCCAGGGGATAGTCTGGGGCTGACCCTGCCAAGGCACCTTCAGGGCTGGGCCCAAGTGGGGCCCGAGGATGCGCCAGACTCGACCACTGGAGTTTTCTGGAAAGCCCTCATAAGAAGTGGTCATTAAATGTATATGACGGGGACGTTCCTGGTGGTCCAGTGGTTGAGAATCCCCCTTCCCATGCAGCGGACATAACTTTGATCCCTGGTAGGGGACTAACATCCCACATGCCACGGGGCAGCTAACCCCAAGCCGCAACTGCCGCCCCTGCGCTCCAGAGCCGGGGCTCTGCAAAAAGGGACGCCCCGAACGCCGGAAAGGAGACCCAGTGCAGGCAAAATAAAAATAATAATAAAAACTTTTTAAAAAATGCATATGACCGCTCAAAAATTGAATCCAGCCAGCAGCGTTCTCTCCGCGTTGCACAGAGAAATGGGCTTTTCTCAGGCTGGTCTCCGGAATAACCGGGGGCGGGCTTGCCAACTCAGGGGACGCGGGTTCGATCCCCGGGTCGGGCAGATCCCATGGAGGAGGAACTGGCAACTCACTCCAGTGTTCTTGCCTGGGAAACCCCATGGACAGAGCAGCCATGGGGTCGCAAAGGCGTCGGACACGACCACGTAATTGAGCACACACCCTCCCAGAGCCGCGGGGCCCTGCACTGGCCGGCCGCCTGGGGGGAGCCGCTCACACCTCTGTTCCCATCCCCCTCTCACTCCAACCGGAGCTGGCCGCCTCTGCGAGCCCGGCGCCCTTCCAGGCTCTTGGGCGGGTCCAGAACCAAGAAGAGCGCCTCCGCGGCTTCTCCCCGGGGCGGAGACGCGGGCGGGGGGAAGCGAGCCCGGCGCCCGGAGGGAGGCACGGCCCCTTCCCGACTGCCCTCGACGGCGCGGGATGCGGGGGTCCGGCCCGCCAGCAGGGGGCGCGCGCCCCCCGGGAGCCCTGCCGCGGGGCCAGCCGCGCATGCGCCACGCAGCGCTTTCCGGCAGTGTGGCGGAACTGCCTCGCCGTTTCGCGGCGTTTGGCGACGTCATCCGCGCCGGGGCCGGCGGCAGTGTGGCGCCATGGCGTCGCCCTTCAGCGGGGCCCTGCAGCTGACGGACTTAGACGACTTCATCGCGCCGTCTCAGGTGGGCGGGCTGGGCGGCTGCTTCGCTCGAGGAGTCCTCTCCGCCGCGGTCTCCCCCGCCACCCCTAGACAGGGGCTCGGGATCAGGGGGCCTGCCGCGTCGCACAGCCCGCGGTTTCCGAGTCCCCTTTCCGGGCGGCCACGACAACCAGAGTGACCCAGCTCGGGACCGGGAGGCCCGGCCGAGCTTCCCTGGCCGGCTCTTCACCCCGCCGCGAGAACAAGGGGGGCGTTCCGCTGCGGTCAGCGCGGTGGTCGGCGTAGGTGTCGCCCCCGGGGGAGGAGGCAGAGCGCGCCCCCAGGGGGACAGGCCAGCCGCGCGTGAGGGCCGGCCGCCTCCTCAGCTGCCCCGCTTATCGGTTGCCGGCAGCCGCGCGGGACCAGGGCTCGGCCGAGGCGTGCCGCGGGGGGGCGCGAAGGGCGGGACGGGCCTCCTGCCGAGGCTTTCCGAGGCTGCTCGCTGGGAACGCGACGGCCAGCGAGCTTCCTCTCGGATGGAGAGGAATTGGGAAGAAAGGAACCTTCTTCCAGGAACTGGGCGGAGCAGAGCTTTTCTGCCGACCCTCGGCCTCCAATGAAACACTGGCCCTCCGTGCGGTGCCCCACCCGCCGTTTACTGGCGGTGTCCGCGGACAGGTTAGGGTGGCCACACCGCCTGCACCTGCATCAGGTCAGCGACCTCGATGCGGGCGGTGTCTGAACACGCGCGAGTAGGGTAAGCAGCCACAGCGCCAAGACCGCTTCTGCGGCGGGAAGGCCAGAATCAGGGCAGAGTTTTCGTCCCAGGCGGTGTTGTGGCCCCTCCGCCCCCGTGCGCTCAGGCGCCCTTCGGGTCTCTTACGGGTAGGACTGCATCAAGCCCATGAAGGTGGATAAGAGGTCGGGAAGCGGCGTGGCCAAGATCCACATCGAAGATGACGGGAGTTACTTCCAAGTCAGTCAGGTAAGTTCCAGCCCAGCTGACCTGTCCAGTGACAGGTGCAGTGACCATGGCACTTTACATGTGTCACCAGCCCTTTCTCAGGTGTGCACTGCAGAGGGCTCTTTGCAGAGGTGGCAGTTCCGGCATCCCTCTCTCTCTTGAGTTCTAATTGTGTAAGATTTTCTAGTCCATATCACTTGTTCGTAGTGAAACCTACTCCTGTATAATTGAGCAATGCCAAGACTCTAGTCCCACGGCGTTAAAGTTGACACCCTGACTGTCTGCCATTTGGATTCTCGAGGACACCCATGCTGTCCCGAGGACTGCAGGCACCACCAGGCGTACCAGTCTAGAGATCCCTTCCAGCCGGCGAGGCGCCACAGGATGGCTCGTGGTGGGGCCAGACAGAGGGAGCCAGCGATCCCAGGGAACAAGTCACTGTTTAATCAGCCCTGGAAGGCGATCTGGCAGCCCAGCTGGGGTTCCGCCCCAGCCCAGCAAGCACGGGAGGTGGGGTCCTTCATGGGGCCAGGGACCCTGCTCCAGGGCAGCAGGGGTTGACCTGGAGAGAAGTCTGAAGCACATCAGTCCCCACTGGCCTTGAGCCCGGCCCGGCACGGAAAGTGCCCTGAGCTCAGACTGCGGCTGCAGTGCGATGTGGGCCTTGTGAGTGGGCTTGAGGGGGGGCGGGGTGGTCCCGGCTCGTCAGCCCTCCGTCACACTTTGGACTCCTGAAGCTTTCCCGGCCCTGGCTGAGGCCACTCCTGTGTGTGCAGAGGAAGTGAGGGCTCTGCTGGGACCATTTGAGGCTCAGAGCTGCCCAGCCGTCGGCCTGGAGGCCAGTGTGAATGCCCAGTTCTCGACTGTCTGGCTGAGTCTGATGTCATAACTGCCCCTTGCATGCCTTGCCTACTCTTCTCTGTGCAGGTGTTGAGGGGCACAGGCTTCTACCATCTCCTCCTCCCTGTTCTTCTGTCCTTTCTTCCTTCATCTTCGACATTACCTTTCTCTTCCTTCTCCTTTCAGAGCCTGGCCTTGAGCATTTTCCTGTCCCCAGAGCACTTTTCTGTCCCTGTAGGCAGTCTGGGGACCAGTGATGAGCCGGCTGCATCTTTGCACATTTAAGATTCATGTCCCACCTCTGGCGGGCAGCAAGGCTCTTTAATACAATATGCCAGCCAAGTTTGTACCAGAGTTAGAATTTGGTGCCTTTAGGAAAGTTTAGAACATGTATATGTATTTCTGTACTAAATATTTAATTCCTAAAAACTTACGGCACATAAAGCCAGCCAACTACCACATTGCTTGTCAGTGCTGTGAGCCAGAGAGTGAAGCTCTCCCATGGTCCCCTCATCCTGAGAGCACTGTGTCTTCATGTGGAGGGGCCCTTGGGTGGTACCGGGTTCTCTTGCTTCCAGGATGGAGGGATGAAGAAGCTGGAGAAGGCCAAGATCTCGCTGGACGACTGCCTGGCATGCAGTGGCTGCGTCACCTCAGCAGAGACTGTGCTCATCACTCAGCAGAGCCACGAGGAGCTGCGGAAGGTTCTAGGTGCCAATAAGGTGAGCGGTGGGCTGTCTTCGGATGCCATGCTCACCCAGTGTCCCTCACTGGTATCGTCGGGGCAGCTCATCTCTTGGTGGTACTTGTCCTGTGTCTCCTGGGGACTCCTGGCATTGAAGTGTTAACCCTAAACTTCAAGTTCTGTGTGTTTGCAAAATTGACGCCGTGATGGGGTCAGGCTGTAAGCCACACAGAGTAAGCCGTGGGTCCCGGGCTTTGCAGATGGCAGCACCTGATCAACAGAAGCTGGTTGTCATCTCAGTCTCGCCCCAATCCAGAGCGTCACTGGCTGTGAGGTTTCAGCTGAATCCTACGGACACCGCCAGGAAATTAACAGCATTCTTTAAAAAAATAGGTAGGTGCTGAACCTTGGCGACCTCCTGTGTAGACACGGGGCTGAGGTGACACCCAGCTATCACCGGTCTTAGTGTATCAGAAGCTCTGTTGGAGGTTGACTTAGCTTGAAGTTCTGTTTGATGATTGAAAGCAGGGCCTTTTAATTAAAAAAAACCCTGAATTATGATGCTGCACATCCCTGAGCCTGGAGTTCACCCACTCTTTACTTTGTTTTTTTTTTTTTTCTTTATTTTTTTTTTCTTTACTTTGTTTTTAAATTATCACCACCAGGGCACAGTTGTCAGGCCTGAGTTGGGCCCCTGGTCGGCCCCTGCACATTGGGGGCAGGGCTGGGAGGGCGTGGGGGCCCAGTGCAGGCGGCCGTGCTGGCGTGTGCAGGGTGCGGCCTGGTGCCTGCAGGCCCAAGCTCAGAGGCAGGGCGCCGGGCGTCCACCACCGGTGCATCCTGTGATGCCCGCCCACCCCGGGCGCAGCTGTCCTTCCGGGGCTGAGGTGGGTGCTCCCTCACAGGTGCACACTACGTGTTTGACACCGCCTTCTCGAGGAACTTCAGCCTCCTCGAGTGCCAGCGGGAGTTCGTGCGGCGGTTCCGAGAACAGGCCGACCCCAAGCAGGCCCTGCCCGTTCTGACTTCCGCCTGCCCAGGTGTGTGCCCGCGGCCAGTAGCTGGACGTGGTGAGGTGGGTGGGGGCTTTTCAGCAGGAGCCGCCTGAGGGTCACCTGGAGCCGCTTCAGTTCCTGAGGGGTGATCACGGGGATGCTAGAGACACGTGTTGGCAAGAGCAGAGCAGGGGGCTCCTTCGTGGGACCCTAACCCCTTGCATGAGTCTGGCCACGCCCAGAAGTCACCTCACTGCCCCGTTCTCGCCCTGCGTTGGCCTCAGGCTGGATCTGCTATGCTGAGAAGACCCACGGGAGCACCCTCCTCCCCCACATCAGCACGGCACGGTCCCCGCAGCAGGTCATGGGCTCCCTGGTCAAGGACTTCTTCGCCCAGCAGCAGGTAACGGGGACCCAGGGTGAGCCCCCTGCGGCGCCCCCCACACTGTCCCCTATCAGCCCTGCGCTGCTGCCTCACTGCCACGCCCTGCACACAGCGTCTGACCCCTGACAAGGTCTACCATGCAACAGTAATGCCCTGCTACGACAAAAAGCTGGAAGCCTCCAGACCTGACTTCTTCAGCCAGGAGCACCAGACACGCGACGTGGACTGTGTCATCACCACAGGTGCAGGGCCCTGGGCTGGCCGGCGCTGTGACTGGGAGCCATGCATCTTTAATGGTCTCTGTTGCTCTTGAGACTCAAATGAAGTACGTCTGTGCTGTGGTCTCCTGCAGGTGAAGTCTTCAAGCTGCTGGAAGAAGAAGGGGTCTCGCTGTCAGAGCTGGAGCCGGCTCCTCTGGACAGTCTGTACGTCACCACCAGCCGTGTCGGAAGGGCTGTAAGCTCACCCGTACCGGGTGCTCTCCACCAGGGGGTCCCCAGGGTCTGGGCGGGCGGCAGGAGGAGCCGTGGCCCTCCGACACAGGCACTGGCCTCCTCCCTCTTCTCTGGCCTGGCCTCCCTCAGCCCCTCGTGCATCTCGGTGTCCAAGATGCTTGAGCTCCCAAGGCGGCCTGTGGACAACTGGCTGATGGTCATCAGAGCTGACACTGACTTCACACAGGTCTGAGCTCCCTGGACAGGTGGTACGACGGAGGAGACAGTCCTTTGCCGCACAAGCCTCCTCCTGACACACCCTCGAAGCCTTGGGCTCTGTGACTCATCTTCCGCTTAGAAAGCAAATGCTCTCAAACCTGAGAGACAGAGCTTGCTCAGAGGCCTCGGTGGGCAGCGGCCCCACCACCACCTGAGGCCCAGCCTCTTCCCCAGGTGCAGCAGTGCCTCTGCCCAGGAGCCCACCAGCCACCGGGGCGGGGGCTCGGGGGGCTACCTGGAGCACGTGTTCCGGCATGCAGCCCAGGAGCTCTTCGGGATCCATGTCACTGAGGTCACCTACAGACCCCTGAGGTCAGTGGGGAGGGCCGGAGCCGGGCCCTGCGCTCTGGCTCAGGTGACAGGGCCAGCGCTCCCAAGCCCTGGTTCACCTCGTGGTAGAGCTCGGTGTCCCCTACCCACAGCACTGGGACGGGACGGAGCTCCTGGCACAGTGTGTCCTGATGTGAGCCCCCACTCCAGGGAGGGTGGGCTGGGGCTCATCTGACCTTGGGAAGGTGGGGCTCCCATTCTACAGACCAGGAACCTGAGGCTGAGGCCACCTGCCCCACTGGTGGGAAGGAGCTTCTTCCCCTCCCCCATCTCCGGCCCCACCAGGAGTGAGTCTGGTATGCTGTGTGGACAGCTAGGTCTGTGCCCTCAGGAACAAGGACCTCCAGGAGGTGATTCTGGAGAGGGACGGCCAAGTCCTGTTGCACTTCGCTGCAGCCTATGGCTTCCGCAACATCCAGAACTTGGTGCAGAAGCTCAAGCGCGGGCGCTGCCCATACCACTTCGTGGAGGTCATGGCCTGCCCGGCAGGTAGCTGTGGGCAGGGGGCCCCTGGGAGCATGCGTGCTGGCTGGCACCCTCCATGACCACGCTTGCCCCGCTCTGCCACAGGGTGCCTCAATGGGGGCGGACAGCTCAAGGCCCCTGACATGCCCGGCAAGGAGCTCCTGCAGCAGGTCGAGAGGCTGTATGGCCTGGTCAGGACCGAGGCACCGGAGGACGCGCCCGGGGTCCAGGAGCTGTATGAGCGCTGGCTGCAGGGCGCAGGCTCGGAGCGGGCCGGCCGCCTGCTGCACACCAGCTACCACGCGGTGGAGAAGGCTGGCTCTGGACTCAGTATCAGATGGTAGAGGCTTCACGGGTCCAGCCGGTCCACTGCTGCCAACACCAGGACTCCTGGGAAGGTGGAGGCTCTCCAGCAGGGTAGTTGCCCGAGACCCCAAGGGGCACCCCAAAATGCTGCAGGGACACTAGGACCCTCACAGCAGTGGGACTCGGAATCACTCTCACCTGGACTCCTCTCGCAGAGCCGGAGGCTCTACCAGCCACTGGCCCTCTCCAAGGTCCTGAGCCCTGAGAAGCCTGGGCTCCCCCTGGGTGTGGGAGGGCTCCTCACCCTCCATCTCTAGAGTCCCCCAAAACTGCTATGGGCGGTTGTGATAGACTGGACCTGCCCGGCTGGTGAGGTCACAGCAGAGCCTGGGGGGCCTGCCACACTGGGCAGCCGCAGACAGTGGACACAGGCAGCCGGCCCATGACCCCCCTGGGGTGGGCTGCCCCTCCACCGAGACCAGGTGTCTGCCAGAGCCACGTCCCAGAGAAGCTCACCTCTAGTAAAAACAGCTTCTTTTCAAGAGTGTCTGTCTGCATCGAGAAAAAGGCCTTTCAAAGCTTTATTTGAAGTTCAGGAGCCCTGTGCACCCCACTGCACTCTGTGCAAACACCCCTGTCTCACTATGGTCCAGAGTGGTGTGGGGTGTCCACCCTCTGGGGCCGGGCAGGACTGAGGACGGCCAGGCCCTCCTGTGGGTCGAGGGAGGAGGGCTGTGTGGCCTGGCCCACGTGGAGCTCACTTCTGCCGGGGTGTGCTCAGGAGCCCCCACTGCAGCGCGAGGAGGGCCCGGGCCTGTGGCTGCAGCGGCTCAGCCGCCCTCTCAAAGCTCGCTCGCTCCCTGCAGAGCACATCCAGGACGTCGGCTGGTGCCACCTTCCCCGTGAACTCCCGCACAGGCTCCTCTCTGCGGGCAGAGGGGGCACTGTGGGGCTCAAGGGGACCCACGGGGCAAACCAGACATGGTGGTGGAGACAACCCGGTGGCCAGCCCCGTGCCAGCCTGCTGGGCAGTGAGGCCCCTGGGGAGGATGCAGGTCCCCAAGATTCGCGGGCTCAGGCCCTGCCCCATGCTTCCCAGCCCCCTCACCCACACGGGAGGGCCCAGCATGCTGGCTGGTACTCACGCCACCCTCAGGAACGGGTTGTAAAGGAGTTCCTCGCCCAGGGTTGCGGGCACCGTGGGCACATCGTCCTCATCCCGCTGCTGGAACAAGCACAGGCCCCGATCACCACCTTGTCTGGCAGCCCCAGGCAGGTTGGCCCTGTCACCCGCAGCCTGGGGGCTTGAGCCTAGGCCCTGAAGGTGGGCACTTGAGGGACAGACTGCAGGTGACCCAGAGCCTAGGGTGGGTGAACGCCCCAGCCAAGCCAGGCCTGGTCACGCAGGCTAGAAGTCATGGCTGACACCCCACCCACACACACACACACTCAGTGCTGTCCCAGGCCCAGCCGCCCCACCATCCAACCTTGCCACTGAGAGTGGAGGAGCGGCCACACCTTGGCCCATGACAGCTTGGCCTTCACGTGGTCGTTGTAAGGCTCCACTTTCTGTGCAAACTCGAGGTTGCCCAGTGTGTGCTCGTGACCACAGAACACCTTCTGGAGAGAGAGGTGCTTAGGTGCATAGCACTGCTATGGGCAGAGATGTTTCCCACCCCCTCACCGGTCCACTTCTTGCCACAGCTGGCAAGAAGGCAATCATCCTGAACCCTGGCATAGACAGGTTCAGTACATGCTGCTTATATGGGAAGCCGGGCCCCCACAGCCATGAGAGGGCAAGGGGCAGGCTGCTCACTGTCTCAGGGGGCAGGGTGCCCAGGGTCTCCACCAAGCTCTGGTACATCTGCTGAGCTGTGCCCTCCAGGCGTGAGCCGCAGCCGGCCATGGACAGTGCATCCCCTGGGGAGTTGGATGGGTCAGAGAGAGTGGAATGGGGCATGGGGAGGTGGGGCAGGGGGGTACAGGGCAGCCAGTACCTGAGAACACAGCAGGAGGGTCCGGACACTCCTCTTCCCACAGGAAGTAGCTCATGTGGCCCAAGGTGTGGCCGGGCGTCAGGAGGCAGCGCACGTGGATGGCCCCAAACTGCAGCAGAGGGGCAGGTGAGGTGGTTGGGCCCAGGCTCTCTCCCCGCCCCTCCCGGACGCGCGCTCACCCGCAGCTCCTCGCCGTGTGCCAGCCTGCGCGTCAGTGCACAGATGCGCTCGTCCGCACCCAACACCACCAGACCAGGAAGCAGCCTCACCAGTTCCGCGTTGCCGCGAGCGTGGTCCCTGAGGATGGGTGAGAGTGGAATCACGTGGGGTTGGGGCTGGGTTGGAGTGAACCCGCCTGCCTCAGCCCTGCCCCTACGGCACTCACCAGTGGTGATGGGTTGTCAGCACAGTGGTCAGTGATACTCCCTCCCGGCCCACGATCTCCAGCAGCTGAAAGGGATGGGAGTTAGGGACATGCAGAGGGCCCAGGTGGCTGCCTGCATTGGGGCCCCAGGCACGGGACGGTGCTAGGGGCAGGGGAGACCTCGCAGACGATTAGTGAGCACCCACTGCGTACAAAGCAGGCACCAGGTGAAAAAGTTCAGAGACGGCTCTAACCGCAGAGGAGACCCAAACCAAGAAACCCTAAACTCCAAATAACCAGAGACCAGAAAACAGGGGGAGGGTCTGCCCCCAGCAGTGTTGTCCAGAGCCTCTCCCTGCGGCCCAAGGTGCCTGGACCCACAGCGGTGCTCCCGCTGCCTCAAGCCTGCCCTCACCCGTTTGGGCACGGCCACGTCCACGGCCACAGCCTCCCGCGTACGCTCCTCGATGACCAGGTACATGTAGTTGTCCTCAAGCACAGGGATGACTTTGACCTTCATGGCCGCAGAGCTCGGCCGCACCGTGCCCCCTGAGCCCCTTCCTCAGCGTGGGGCTGCCCTCTCCAGACCCTAGGCAGGACTGTTCGCAGGAGGGGTCAGTTCCACACACGCGCGCTGGGGGCCAGAAAGGAGCCCCGCTGGCTGCTCCCGGACTGTCCCGAGGCCGGTCTGGAAGGCCAAGCTCCAGACTCCAGATGACCTGCAGCTGCGAGGACCAGTCCCTCGCCAAGACGCCTCCCGCCGCAAGCTCCGCCCCCACGCCATAGGCCCCGCCCATACAGCCACGCCCCCTTCCGGCCCCGCCTGCTTCCAAGGCCCCGCCCCCAGCGCCCTCCTGGCGCAGCGCGACCCCGGGCCCGCCCCTCTTCGGACCCCGCCCCTCTCCGGACCCTGCCCCTCTCCGGGCCCCGCCCTCAGCGCCACTCCGCAGGCCCCCGCCCCAGACCCCTTCCGACCCGGCCGCCCCCTTACCCGAGCCCGGCGCAGGGAGCACGCGTGCGCGGACGGAGCGCGCGCGCTCGTCCGGCCAGTCGCGCCCGGAGCTCTGGTGCCTCCTCCGCGAAGCCCTCCTGGCACCGCGCTGAGCCAGTCTTCCCGAGTCCCCCGGCCCCGGGTTGGGACGTCTTCGATCGGGCTGGGAGTGTAGGGAGGCTCCCGTTTGTTCGCCTGCTCGTCCCGGCGCTCAGCCAGGGGGCCTAATGAATGTGGAACCCACATGATAAGGCAAAGCGCGCTGCCTGAGGATAACAGTAAGAGGGGCTGCTGCTTGGCTCCCTGTGCGCTGTCCCACACCTCCCCAGCCGGGCCTTCTGCGCACTCCTGGTTCCATCCTCACCCCTGAGACATGCTGGGGTGACCGTCAGAGTTTCCCAGATGATGAAAAGGAAGCCGGAAAGGTGTCACCAACCACTGAACTGTCCTGCTTTCCCTCGTGGGCGGGGCACCGGGAGTCTCCTGGGAACGACAGAGGCCTTGGCAACACAAGTCACAGTGCTGCAGCAACAGGCCAGTAGTCGAGGCGACACTGGGCTTGGGGCAGCCTGCAGTCCTTTCTGTGTATGGAGCATGTGGCAGCCCCAGGGCCCCCTCCTCGGGCCGCTGAGAATGTGAGTCCTCCCAGGACGCTGCTGCTTCTGGGGTGTCTTCTCCTGCTCCCTCACAGGCCAGAAGGGGTGTAGGTACTCAGGACCTGGGCCTGATCCTGGCCGCGGGAGAGTCTGCCCCAGCTCTGCCAGGCTGGGTGTGCGAGGGTGGAGACCACAGCCCAGGCCTGAGACACACCTTGGGGTTGAGTGGTGGTGCCTCCCTAGGTTCTGCCACGGGCCGAGGCCTGGCTGCCAGGAGTCCCTGGGGGTGCCCCAGCCTGGGCCACCAACCTTGGGACAGAGCTTCCCTCAGACCTAGAGCTGAGTGAGGAGCAGCGGCTGCAGGTGGGTGTGGGGCTTCTGGGTGCTGGCAGGAGGGAGGGCATCCCCAGGGCCTCACAGACTCCACCTCTCACCCTGACCAACCCCAGGTCTGCAAGGAGCTGGTCGACCTGCAGATCAAAAACCAGCGCCTGCAGGAGCAGCACGATGCTGAAATCTTTGAGCTGAAGAGTGAGGTGGGCACTGATGTGTGCCCAGGTGTGGCAACCCGAGGGCGTGGGGGGGGGGGTGCAGGTGTGCCCCGAGTGACTATGCACACTCGCACAGTTTCTGTACACACTCACACACCCCACCTGTCCTGTGTGTGCTACGTCCCTGTGGATGCCCAGATGGATGAAGACCTGGTCTCCCACAGGTCCTGTGGCTGGAGAGCCGCGTGCTGGAGCTGGAGCTGCAGGGAGCACAGGCGGCCCCAGAAGAGGCTGATCCAGGGCGCCGCCCGGCCCTGGCACAGGAGCTCGGACACAAGGCTGGGGGGCAGGTACACTCCTACCGTCGCAGACTCCAGGTCACCGGGAGTGCACGGTGGGAGGTGGGGGCAGGGGGCTGCCTGGGTGGAAGCTAAACGGGTCCAGCGAGGAACAGTGAGGCCTAGACAGCAGCTCTTCTGTGCAGGCACAGTCCACAGACTTCCTGACCCCCAAGAACAAGCAGCAGGAGCTGGGGGACGGCACAGGTGTTCAGCCACCCAGCCCGGAGGTCTGTCAGGGTTTCTCCCAGCCTGGGGTGGAGGTAGGGCGGAAGAGGGGACCCGGGGCTTGGGCTTTCATCCAGCCAGCCGTCCTGTGCCCCACAGCTGCCAGCAGAGGCAAAGCGGGCGCAGGAGCAGCACGGGGCTCGGCAGAAGGCCCTGGAGACGCGTGTGTGAGTGACCGCCTCCCTACTCTGGGACTGGAGAGCCCAGTGAGCAAGGGGGCTGTTCTCAAGGGGAAGAGGGGCTCACCCTTCCTGGGCCCAGCTGAGCCTCACACCCTGTCCACAGGGCAGCCCTGGGCCGGCAGCTGCAGGGAGCCTGGGAGGAGGCCAGGACAGCTGGGCAGCGACTGGCTGCACAAGCCGTGGTGAGGCCCAGCCCTACCTGCTTTGCAATCTGGCTCCGCAAAGTCCAGCTTTGGGACACAGACTCAGGGCCTCCTCCACCCCTAGGTGTTGTCTGCCTGCCGGGGCCAGCTCCACCAGGCTGAGGCAGAGAACGCCCGGCTGCAGCTGCAACTTAAGAAGCTGAATGAGGCGTATGCCATTCGACTGCAGCACTGCGCCCGAACTGTGGCTGTGAGCATCGAGGGGTGGCCCTGTACCGGGTGGGAGGCCTCTGGGTCCCAGGGAGCCTGAGCCTGGCCTGACCACGACCAACCACCTCCGAGAGGCTCTTGACCTTGTTGAAGACTTCAGGCCTGCCCAGTACACTATCCTCAGACCAGCTCTAGAGAGGGAATTAAGAGGGAGAGGTTGGATCTGACCAAGCGCCACTCTTCCCGGTCCTGGCCCCACCTCCTCCAGGGATACGCAGATGGCACAGGCCCGAAGCCCACAGCCGCAGCCCTTCGGACATTCCTGGAGACCACTCTGGAGGACATCAGGGCAGCTCATCACAGCCGTGAGCAACAGCTGGCCCGGGCCGCCCGCTCCTACCGCAAGTGCCTGGCAGATCTGAGCCGGAGGCATGAAGAGCTGCTGACTGCTCCCAGGTGGGCCCCTCCCTGAGACGGGCACCTGGGGGCAGACAGCCCCTCCCTGAGACCGGCACCCTGGGTTGGATGGCCCTGTGAGACCCGGTGCGTGGCTTAGTGTGCAGCAGATGCTGGTGGACCCTGTCGGGGCCCCTGGGAACCCCAGGGCTGCCTTTGGTGTGGCCTCCTCAGATGTGGCGCTGCTGCCCATGCACACAGTCACCGAATTCAGCCACTGGACAGAGGACCAGGCCAGGCTGGAGAAGCAGCTCCAGAAGCTCAAGGCCCAGGTGACCCCTCCCTGCTGCCCCCTAACTCACCCCAGCACCCCTCCCAAGCTCAGCCAAGCCCAAACCCCCAGGCCCTGGAGCAGCCTGCCCTGTTTAGCAACCCCTACTCTTGTTCCCACAGAAGGCATCTGGTGAAGTCTCCCAGGGGGACACATTAGAGCCGCAGTGAGTACCTAGTGTGGGTGCTGGGGGGACCCATTTATCCTGGAAGCTAGCTACAGGGGCAGTGTTCTGGTTGCTGCAGCAAACAAAGTGATCTGTGACTTCCAGTCTCGGCCTGTTCAGGAGACACTATCTCAGAAAACCAGGGGCCTGGAGTGAGGAGGGGTCCTGACAGGAGAGGGGCTAACTTTGAATGGGAGGGTCAGGGAGACGCCTCATCTCGGCTGAGACTCAGGAGCCCCAGCTGTAGACCACTGGGGGCGTGGACAGTAGAGGGCCCGACCCAAGACAAGGCAAGAGCAGCTGCCCCGTTACTTTCACGGCCTTTGTGCCTTCATGTTCCCAACATGAAGCCTCCTTACTGACACTGCAGTCACAGTCCAAGCTGGCCTGGTGGCTCATCTTTCCGAGTGGCCGCTGCCCCCCCACCCCCATGCAGAGATGGCGCCAAGACTCAGGCAGGGCCATCCCAAACTTGCTCGCAGGAGGAACCTCAAGGACCACAGGGCCCTGACTTGAGCAGGGTTGTTGATCAGCACTTGGGCCAATGCCAGCTCTCACACCCACCTCTCTGCCTCCCCTCAAGGGGCCTGGAAGCTGCGTCCTGGGCCCAGATCCGCCAGAATCTACAGAAGTTCACCCGTGGCACCCAGGTAGTGAGCAGAACCTGGCCCGAGGCCCCTCCTCCCCCGGCGCCTGGCTCATGGCTTGTGTCCCCCACGCTAGGCAGAGCTGGAGCGGGAGCGGGCACAGCTGCTGGTCCGCGCCACGATGGCAGAGGAGCAGCTTTCTGAGCTACAGGAGTATGTGGACCAGCACCTGGGAAGGTGGGCTTGGGATCTGGGGACCTCAGTCCCAGGCACTGGCAGCAGGGCTTGTCTACAACCAGGCAGGTGACTAACCTGGTTTCTCTGAGCAGGTACAAGCAGGAGATCCTGAGGCTGAGGAAGCTGGTGGGTACAGGGGACCCCTGGAAAGTGGGGGCGATACCTTCAGACAAGCCCCAGCACCCAAGGACCTGCAACCACTAACTGGTCAACAGGCAAACCTGGAGCTGAACTCTTCATAGTCAGCCAGCATGGAGCTCTCCCCACAGCACCCCCTGGAAGATGACTTCACCCAGCCCTCCAGCCAACAAAACGCAAGGGTGGCGTCTTCCCTTGTGGTCCAGTGGCTAAGTCTCCACACTCTCAATGCAGGGCACCCTGGTTCAATGCCTGGTCAAGGAACTAGATCCCACATGCCACAACTAAGAGCTCTCAAAAGATCCCACGTGCTGGAATTAAGACATGGCATAAGCAAATAAATATTTTTTAAAAAAGAATCAGGGTGGAGCAGAGTCTTTATTGCGTGCAGTCAGCCAGTCTGAGAATTGGGGGTTCCAAGTACAGAGGCAGAACCAGGCCCTGGCACAGCCTGCCCAGCTGGCCCACCTCTGTGGATGTCATAGGCCCAGACTCGGTCCAGGCCCTCACCTACCACAGCCACAGGCTGCCAGGTGGGGAGGGGGAAGCGCCCAGACACCACACGGGCTCCTGCAGGCAACTCTGCCTGCAGCTTGTCCTCCAGCAATGGGAGCTGTGGGAGACAGGGGAGGGTGGCATGGGCAGGGGGGACATGGCTCCCCCTAGCAGCTCCTCCAGGTCCAGTGCCTACACTAGGGATGGCCTGGGCGTCCCATGGAGTCAGCGAACCCCAGACCTACCACACTAGGAGCCAGGAACACAGACACATTGTGGCAGTCCCTCAGGCTCACCTGCAGGAAGAGGAAGTCACCCCAGCTGGGAAAGAAGTTTGGTGGGCATGGAGTCACCACAGCTTCCAAGGCCCAGCCCCAGCCCGCCAGGTGACAGAGGCACTCGGCGCTATCAGCAGAGCAGCCAAGCCAGAACTGGAAGCATGGAGATCAGGCGTGGGTTCCTAGGGGGTCCAGGGGTCTCTGGGTTACCTTCCAGAGGTCTTCACGGTGGAAGCGGACACTGCCAACACAGCCTGCCCTCCAGGCACGCAGCCGCGCCAGTCCCACCAGCCAGGGGTTCAGCTCGTAGCCCACAGCAGGGCGGAGGCCGCACCTGTGGGCAGCCAGCACCTGTGGGCCCAGAGAGTCAGGACCAAGAGACGCGGAGGCGCGCTCATAGAAAAGGTTACAGCAAAGATATCCCCAACACACAGTCCTTACAATCCTGCCGTCCCCAGAGCCCAGGTCCACAGTCTTCCCAGGACGGCCTCGCAGCAACGACAACACGTGCTCCACCTGCCTGGCACTCGCGCCGACATAGGGCACCTGGACGCGGAAGACGGGGCTATGAGGGTGGGGCCCGCCTCCGGGGCCTCCTCTCTGAGCGAGGGCAGTCGGCTCCCACTTGAAGTGAGTCCCACCCCACAGCCCCGCCAGGTCCGGCGCAGCAGCACTCTGCGCCTCACACCTGCGCTCAGCGCCCCGCCCCAGCCCTGCCCACCCGGCCGGTGCGGGCCCGCCGCACCCCGGCTCCGCACCTGCAGGCGCAGCGGCACGCGGCGGAAGCCGGGCTGCAGCAGCAGCGCCCACACGCCGTAGACGGCCAGGCCCGAGCCCGCCGCCACTTGCAGCAGCTCCAACGGGCTCGGCCGCCGCTCGCGCAGCTCCGTCAGCGCTTCGGCCGGGTCGTCCTGCTCCATAGCTGCGGGGCACTGGCTTAGGGGCGTCCCGTCGCAGGGACCCTCCCCGGCTCAGGCCCGAGACCCTCACGCCCCAGCCCCGGGCTGCAGACCGCGCCTCCCCGCGGCCTTGACCTGCACCGCGCAGCTCCTTCCTGCTCCGCGCCCGCCCGACCCGGAGCGCCGACGCCGGAAGGGGCGGGGCGGTGGCCGCGCCGAGACGCCGGAAGCAGCCGGTCCGTGCATCCCACTTCCCCCGGGTCCCGTGCCCATCCACCGGGGTCCGGGGCGACCCTGGGGGGTTCTGGCCGCACAGCACGCGGCACGCAGCGCGCGTCCCTCCGCCGCGGACTGTTGCTGCAAACCCCGGGACCGCGCGTCCCAAAGCGGGGGCCGCCCGCGGGAGGCCTTGCCGGGCCCCGCGGACTGGCGGCGGAGGCCCGTGCGGCTTAGCTGGAGCCCAGCCTGGCGGTCCGCCCGCGGGGAAGGGCTCGCGCGGTTGAGGCGGCGGCCCGCACACCCCGATCGTCCGCCGAGCCCAGGAGCAGTCTCGGGGGCCCGGGTCCTCCCACGGCTGAAGGCAACGAGCCCGAGTGCGCGGGAAACACCGGGCTCTGTAGGGGCGGGGACGGGGGTGTTGGGGCTCCGCTGAGGGACCGGTGGGGGTTGACAAGGAGAAATTCAGCAAAACCAAGAAGACAGATGTTGGCTGTCTCAGCGCAACGGGAGGGTAGCCGAATACGAGGGGCTGGACCCTCTGGCAACTGGCCCAGTCATGGGTGTGGAAGAGCCCCAGGAACAGGGAGGACCACCTCCCTTCTCCAGAAAGCATCACACACACAAAGAAAGATCGAGCTCCCGGAAGTGCCCTGGCAGAACTTGGGAACGGGAGAGGGAACTGGCAGGGGAGCCAGGACCCTCTCCTGACCCCACCCTGAGGCCAGAAGGCCTTTGAGTGGTAGAAACTTGTCTGCACACAGGCTCCTCCTCCATCCACGGCCCGTCAGGAGGCCCAGCGGGGACAAACGTTGCTTCAGGCAATGTGGACCTGCCGGATACCACTGTCCGCCCCCCACCCCCAAGTGCAGATTGCTTCACACTGGCACCCCGCTGCCACCAGCGTGGAAGACAGGTATCCTTGTGCCGTGCTCCCGAGACCTGAGTACTGGAGAGGAGGAGGGCTTCTCCCATCCCCAACCCAGAATCTCCTGCCTCCTTCCTGGCTCCCACTGCCCCTCCCCAGAAAGGGAGAACGTGCACTGGGCTTACACAGCATCCCATTCTTGGCTCTTTAGGTGCCTGGCACGGCACCTGACACCTAAAAGAAACTCAATAAAAGCCAGTCAAGTGAATGACCGCCTACCCAGACTCCCCCGTGAGCACACTGACAAATCCTTCACTTTCACACCTGCATCTGCCCCTCACTTTTGGGCACCGGACACCGGTGCACACCTCTGTGAGTACACCCGCCCAGCGGTGCCCCAAAGGAATCTGCTCTCATAGCCCCTGCCCACATGCTCACCCACACCGTTTCCCTTTGGCCACTTCCTGGAGAGTAGGCATGAAGCTCCTGGCCCAAGCCTTCCTGGCTCCTCCCAGAGCACCTTGGGGCTCCTTTCGTCCTGTTGACCACACCCACTCCTGCTCTTTCTGCTCCTCCTGAGCTGGTTGCAAAGCCAACACTTTCTCTGGAGGAGGATGTATGCATCAGAGGTGCTTCATCGGAGGCAGTTCCCGGGGCAGGTGGGTAGAGGCCAGTGTCCAGCCGAGGGCCCACCCCAAGGCAGCTGCCCTACAGTTTTGTGACAGATGGTCCCAAAGGCAATCCACAGTGACCACTGGGTGTGGCCGTAGGCCTCTCTCCCAAAGAAGAGGAGAGCTGGCCAGAGCATCATGCTAAGAGCCAAGGGTAAGGCACCCCTCAGGTCCAAAGGGGAAGCCCTCCTCGGCCAGGGCCTCTGCAGACAGAGAAGAGGAGGGGGCAGGAGAGCACACCCCCACTCCTTCTCCTCTGGTCTTTACTGAGATACTCCCTGTTGGAGGGGAGGGAAACAGGTATACAAGGGTCTGGTCGAGGAGAGAGGTCCATGGGAGATCCAAATGTGGGGTCATCAGCATGTTGGTGGTATTTAAAGGCAGAAGGCTGGCCTCGCTCTGAATGTACTTGGGATGTACTCGAAGAGGAGATCTGGGGCCTGAGCCCCGAGCAATCTGGGGTTGCCAGTCTGAGTCTGGGGGAGCAAGAGGCTCCGCAAGGAGCCTTAAGAACAGCAGAGGTGGCAGGAACCCAGGGGCGCTTGCCCTCCAGGGTGACTGTACTCCCCCTCACAATTCTCAGCAGTCCCCTCAGCAATTGGCCCATCCAAGTGAAGAAGTAGGTCCCCCCGACACTGTAGCCTTAGACAGTCTGCCCCACGGAAACTCCAGAGCGGCCACTGAAGTGACGTGCTGTCCACACAGGGTGTGGCCACACGAGGCACTGACACCAGCTGAGTCCGGCAGCAGGCACCCCGAGGAACCTTGCTCCCCTCCCAGCCTCAGTTCCTGCTGGCAGGATGGCAGGGTTGCTTCTCCAGTTAGGACTGCCAGGAAAGTTGTTTCTGGGGCTCAGCCCAGGAATCCCCCCCAGACACGAGCTATGGGACTGGGTCAGCAGAGCCAGCTCATTCCAGCTTCCAAAGTCCCCCATGCACAGCCCCCCACTCCCCTCTCTTCTCCCCACCCCCTGCCCAGCACCGGGGCCTTTCAGCATCAGGGCCTTCCGTGTGGTCCAGGGCAACAACAACTAGGCCACTGAGTAGAGGCGGGGGAAATGGTCTTTAAGAGACCCCATTGTGTGCCCCCACCCACCAGAAATGGGCAACAAATAGGACCCCTGCAGGAGAGACCCCACAGCTATGGGGGGCACATCAGAGGGGCCTGGGGACAGAGGCCCATTCTTCCTCATGGGTGGGGGGGGGGTAGGGTGACTGCTGGGCTTGCGGCACACCACTTGGGGAAGTCAGCAGGTTGCCAAACCGCAGCCCCTTCCCTCAGGGTGGAAAGTGGGGCCGCCTGCCTGCCCACCTGAGACCTTGGGGGTATGGCCCCTTTTCACTCCCACTCTGAGTGGTAGAAGCACCTGGCATTGGGACAGCAAACCGAGGGTCACGTGAGAGAGGGTCCCTGTGTGCCCCCCCAGCAGCAGCCCCTCCCCCAGGCATGGGCTGCGTGGCACGCAGCCCCCAAGGCTGTGGGAGGAGAGAACGGAGTGAGGCGGCCTGGGCTGGGGACCATATGCACACTGGCTCATCCATTCAGCGCTCTTATTGGTCATCACTGTTACCTCAAAAGCAGGTGACGCTGTGATGCCGTCCGCAGGCCACCCTCCACCCTCCCCAGCACCCTGCTCCCCAGGCCTGTCAGTCTAGCGCCACCTCGCAGGGGTGCAGGTGGTCAGCGTGAGCAGCTGCATAGGCACGGCTGAATTCCTGGAGGCGGGGAGCNAGCGTGAGCAGCTGCATAGGCACGGCTGAATTCCTGGAGGCGGGGAGCGCAACCCAGCCAGGCCTCACCAAAGCGGCTCCAGCCCATGAAGAGAAAGGTGCCAGGGCCGGGGTGCACGCCACAGTGCAGTGGGGTGCGAATGGAGGCCTGCCCCTGGCCCCCGGGGCCTCCCACCCGGAAAACCGGCAGTGTCTGGCGGAGGACGCAGGCAGCTGCCACGGTAATGACAGATTCCTGTAGCTCTGTGTCGTGGGCGACCCCGAGGATGGTTCCGTAGATCACTGTGGAGACATGTGTTGGCCAGTGGCCTCAGGGGAAGACAGGCCCCTGGCTCCTCCCCACCATCCACCCCACAGTGGGGCACTCACCAAAGTCACTGGTGCACACGGCCAGGAGGAACTCGGCATCACTGCAGGGTCTGCAGGCAGCTGACATGCAGGGCAGGTCAGGAGTGGAGCCTTGAGCCCTCCCCCAGCTGGACACAGGAGGGCGAGGGCAAGCTCCCAGAACCCCCCTCAGCGCCTGACGGCACCTGGGGTCTCAGGGAACTTCTGTGCACACTCGAAGACACCCTGCACTTGTAACACTAAAAGCTCGTGCGTGTGTCATGCACACACAGACATCGGCCGGCACGCAGGCACAGGGCCCATGGGCCTGGAGCTGCAGGGCCGGGTGCCCAACCATCTCCCACGCAGCACCAGCAAGCAGTAACTCCCTGTCTCCCAGAGCTGCTTCGTGGGGCCCAAAGACACCAGTCCAGCCCGCGGGGCAGGAGGTTATGATGCGTTCCGGTGTCAGGAGACAGCAGAGACAGCCCCCATTCCCCGTGGGGTCAGGCTCCGACCTCCAGGAGAGCAAAGAGCTGGGTCTGCTGCCCTGTGGGGAGGCGGGGCTGCGTCTCCATGGTGACGGGCTCACAGTGGACTTCTGTTGTACTGGGCTGGGGGAGGGGAGGGAGGTCACCACCGGGCCAGGGAGCCCTGGACAGCTTTGGCCGTCATCCCTTCCCCCAGCCCTTCAGGACCAGGGGCCCGGGTGCCCTGGCTGGCCTCACCTTCCAGGATTCTGCCCCCCGCCCCTCCCCACCTGCCCTGCCTGTGACAGGCCACTCAGTTTCTATCCCAGTGCAGTGCGGAGGACAGTCAGGTCTTCACCCAGACCCGCACTCACCATCCGCTCCAAGGCTGCGGGCCTGCGGGGCCAGCTCAGGACGCCCATCCTCCCGCAGCTCGAAGCTGAAGGAGGCCACGCGGCGGCTGAGGTCGGGATGCGGGGTGGCCTGCAGGAAAAGGGCCCGGCGCTCACGAGGACCCCAGTGCGCGCATCGGGCCCCGGCTGGGCCCGGGCCCTCGGTCAGCAGCAACTCTAGCGCGCCGCCCGCCCGCTCCGCGAAGACTTGGGCGCCTGCGAAGGGCCGCGCCGGCCGCAGGCAGACGATGCCGGGCTGCGCGCCGGGCTCGGAGCCGCCCAGGGTGAGGCGCAGCGCCCCGGCCGGGTACAGCCACTCGATCTCGCCCTCCGCACAGGCCAGGGCGAGCTGTCCCACGCTGCCGGGCTCCTGGGTCAGGCCGCTGCGGACGGACAGGCGGCGCTGAGACGGGCGGCCGGCGTCCCCACCCGGCCAGCCCGTTCCCCCTGCACCCGGTCCCCGCAAGCACCAAGAGCCGCGTCCACTTGGTGGAGAACGAAACTGAGGCCCGGGGCTCAGAGACTGGGAGGCAAAGGTGGCAAAGGCAAGGGTTCGGCGCCGGGACGGAGCGCCCGAAAGGGCGGGCGACACATCTCTCAGCCCCCGCCTAAGAGGCGCACACAGCTCCGAGGGGTTGGCCCGTGAGGATTTCCTGTGGGGCTCGTACCTGCCCCTCCAGCTGCAGCGGTCCTCCGAGTAGCCGGCACGAGCGGCCGCGGCCAAGAAGCAGAAGCAAAGCGCGCAGAGCAGCGCAGGGAGCGGCATGGCGCGGGGGACGCGCGGGGGCGCGGCGGGAGCAGCCGGGGCTTTGGCCCCGGCTCCGCGCAGCCCCGTCCGCCCGCGCGGCAGGCCACGCACCGGGCAGGAGCCTGGGAGCGGCGCAGGCGGCGGGCGGGCCGGACGGCCAATCGCGCCGCGGGCCCCGAACTTTCCACCAATCGCAGCGGCGCTCTCGGGGTGGGCGGGTCGCCAGGGGCCCGGGAGGGGGCTCCGCGGACAGGGAGTTCTGCGTCACCTCTTCAAGGTCCCCCCACTCACCGCTCGCATCCAGCCTCGCCCTGCACGCTGTCCTGCTCGGGCCCCTGTCCTCCAGGCCCTCAGCAGCAGTGGTGCCCACTGGAACGTCTGGGTTAGGGGGGCTTCATCTGGAGGGCTCTCTCCAAGAGTGGCACCTGGGCCTGCCGCCCCCATCTCTCCCCAGCCTGGCCCTGGTGACTTCCCACATGCCAGGTGGGTAACCCCGGGATGCGGGCTCAGGGTCGGTGAAGAAGCAAGAGCAAGAACAGCCCTAGCCCCCTAGTCAGGCCCTGGTAGGTGGGGCCAAGCTGGAGCCGGGCCGCGCTCCTAGAGGAAACTCGCCCCCAGGATCACCGTGGAGGCCAGGGCAGGAGGAGAGGTGGGTGGTGGTCAGGTGGGGATTGCAGAGACAGCCAGGCTAAAGGGAGGACGGCAGACTACCTTGGCAAAGTGCCAGGGTCCAGCCTCAGCAGGATCCAGGGGATACCCTCAGGATGAACGGCGTCAGCGAGAGAGAGAGAGANACGTCAACCCAATAACCACCTTTAGAATAATTTTTCTTATGTTTTCTAATGGGACTTCCTCACTCCCCGAAGGGCTCCATGTCTACTAGGGCCTTTATATGATCAGGTTCTTTATGCTATTTTATGATTAGGGTATTAATGTAAGCAATCATGCATATTAGTACCAAGGGCATAAATGCATTTGGCTAACAAACTACCAGCAAAGGAGTTTAAATTAAAACACTCCTTTCACCCTGGATAATCTCATAAAATACCACCACCCGGGAAGCTTATTGATTAATGTTCTAAATTGATTCTTATTTGGAAAGAGATCAGGGAAGGAAGGCCTTCTGCCTGTGTCACAGAAATTAGGGAGTAGTTTATTGAAGCAAGCATCAAAAGACAGCTATCATCTTTAAGGTGAGCGCTGGGGGCAGCTTTTCGGAATCCCTGAAAACCTGATCTGCCTTGCCCGTCAGGTTTTCTCCCTCATGACCTTGTCATGGGTGGGATCTCGTGTGCCGGCTCCCGACAGCAAAGGCCTCACAATGTGGACACAGCGGACAGGCCCCAAAGAGCCTGATGAAACATTGGGGTCAGACTACAGAGGCCTTAGGCCCAAACCCAGGACTGCAGCCTCAGTACTGGACCGCTTGGGGTCCCTGAGAGCTTTGGCCGACATAGACCCTCTGCCGTCTCTGGGTGTGAGGTCCCCGCGCCCCAGTCTCCTGCTGCCCTGGGCCAGAAGTCCACCCTGACAGATGAGGCGGACGACGCCAACCAGAAGGCAGCATTGGAGCTGCTGCCAGGCTGAGCAGACCACCGCCTCCTCCCTGACACCACAGCCCTTCCAGGCCAATGAAAAGCCAGAGACCCACAGGGCTCAAGTGTTCAGTTGCCCCTGGCCCTAGGCAAGGCGGGTGGGAAAGTGAAAGTGTTAGTCACTCAGTCATGTCCGACTCTTTGTGACCCCATGGACTGTAGCCCACCAGGCTCCTCTGTCCATGGGATTCTCCAGGCAAGAATACTACAGTGGGTTGCCACACTCTCCTCCAGGGAAGCTTCTCAACCCAGGGATGGAACCCAAGTCTCTTATGTCTCCTGAACTGGCAGGTGGTGGGTTCTTTACTACTAACTAGTACCACCTGGGAAGCCTCTCAGTGAAGTAAGCCAGTCACAAAATATCAGTCTACTCACATGAAGTACCTACAACAGTCAAATTCATAGTGAAAAAGTAGAATGGAGGTTGCTTGGGGCAAGGTAATGGGGGAATAGGTGTTTAATGGGGACAGAGTGTTCGTCTGGGAGGAATGGAGTGTTCTGGGGGTGATGGTGGTGACGGTGGTTTGACACACATACTCGACACCCCAGTACACTTGGAAATGGTGAAGATGCTAAGTTTTATATGTCATTACCCAACTACGAATTTAGAAAGGGGCACACAGGGCAAAGAAAGATTTTCATGACCCAGATAACCACGATGGTGTGATCACTCACCTAGAGCCAAGCATCCTCGAATGTGAAGTCAAGTGGGCATTAGGAAGCATCACTATGAACAAAGCTAGTAGAGATGATGGAATTCCAGTTGAGCTATTTCAAATCCTGAAAGATGATGCTGTGAAAGTGCTGCACTCAATATGCCAGCAAATTTGGAAAACTCAGTAGTGGCCACAGGACTGCAAAAGGTCAGTTTTCATTCCAATCGCAAATAAAGGAAATGCCAAAGAATGATCAAACTACCATACAACTGCACTCATCTCACACACTAGCA